AATGAGTGAATGAATGAATGAATGAATGAATAAATAAATAAAACAAGACAGCGTTCAAAATACGGTTACTCAACTAAATGAATGCTTCAATGAATGAATGAATAAATAAATAAAACAAGATAGCGTTCAAAATACGCTTACTCAACTAAATGAATGAATGAATGAATAAATAAATAAAACAAGATAGCGTTCAAAATACGGTTACTCAACTAAATGAATGAATGAATGAATGAATGAATGAATGAATGAATGAATAAAACAAGATAGTGTTCAAAATAGGGTTACTCAACTAACTAAATGAATGAATGAATGAATGAATAAATAAATAAAACAAGATAGCGTTCAAAATACGGTTACACAACTAAATGAATGAATGAATGAATGAATGAATAAATAAATAAAAGAAGATAGCGTTCAAAATACGGTTACTCAACTAAATGAATGATTGAATGAATGAATGAATGAAAAAAAAAAAGTAAACTACATAATATAAAAGTAAATAAAAATAAATGAAACTACCTAACCTAACTTGACACTCCAACGAAAGTCACCAAACTACGTCACCACGGGCAAATTTATATTCATAAGCTACTTAATATTCAGGTGCTACGCTGTAGTGATATCAGCGCGCCAAAATGAATATTCATGAGCTAAGCCCTAGCTGTAGTAGGATTCGCGAAGTGTCTCTCCGGATGTGTTCATCACAGGCAGCATCGCGGAGGTGAGCGAGTGAGAGTGACTCTCTCAGCAGCATCATGGCGGAGCAGAGCGACTCCCCGGCGGCCGTCCAAACCTCGCAGCCGGCGCTCACCAGCAGCTGGCCCATTGTCAAGGAGGCGTACGAGCTCCAGGAGGTGATCGGTAGGTAGTTGCAGATGGATTTGAGCCCGTCATTGGCTTCGATTTGTTGCTTTGGTTTAGGCCTACCGGCTTTTTTCCCATATGCACCGGCCGATGACAGTAATGCAATGCGGATGTGACAAGTGAAGCTTCCTATCATATGTTTTGGAGCTATTAGATGTAATGATAGCGCGCGTGTAATGAGTGATGATGCCTTATAATAGCACGTGTCCAGTGAGACGTCAGGCTACTGTGACGTTTACAGTAAAGGTGCTGTTATTATTATACACAGGGAAGGTTATTGTGACCAAAAAGTGCAACCAAGTTCCAGGGGTTTGAAGTTGATGCATTGCGCAGGGTGGCGGATATTTAACAAAACGCTAATAGCAGCGACAACGAGAGTAATTATTATGATTTGACATATTTTAAGATATTAATATTCTGAGTGTGTAGTGCATGTGTGCATCTTGTCGCCACTTGCACTTGTCTGCGAGATTCAAAGGTGTCATTTGCTGCATGCGATGAGTTTGCGCTCGTCTCACGACGCCCTCTGCTGCTCAGATCAAGCACTTCTCATGTCTCAAAAGTGCATTTAGTAATTTTTTTTTAGCTAATTCAAAAAGTTCTTCAGAAAGAAATGAACAGCAGTTTTGAGAAATTGAATTACAATGACACATTTATATAGCCTACGTCACTGAAGCACAATTGGTGGATTGATCTTATAACACATTGACATTAGATATATCAATTTATGTATTTTATGTTTATGCTTTGTAAAGTGCTTTAAACACTGACTAATGTACATATTATTATTATTATTATTATTATTAGAATGTATATGTATATTTTATATTACACAGCACACACAGTACACATATTAACCCTGTAAAGCCTGACACATGAAATAATAGTCAGAATCAAATTGAATGGAACAATTTATTGAAACTTCAGACTATATACTGTGTGTATATATATATATATAATTATAGAATTATGATACTCAAAGGCCCAAACTGAACAAAAATATGCAATTCCGTGTAGATGCTGATATTTATATGGA